TTATGAGACACAAAATAGCTTTTTATTTCAATTTGACTCGAATGAATCCGATGGATTTATAAGTAAAATTAAAGATAAAAGATTTAGTATTTTCTGCCATGAAGCATATGGACCAACTTTTGGTGGTGGACTTGATTTAACCTTACGCTATTTTACCAACTATTGTACAAAATCTTCATATGAACACGCTCTGTTGAGCTCTGATGATACATTGGTTTACTTTGGTGTCGATGATTATGAAGTATTTCAAGTTTTGCAAAAAATAGTTTAAGTTAATAAAATTTCCTTCATTACCTTTTAAAATTTATAAAATTATAGTAGACATAAACTGAGAGTATGTACAAATAAATATTCTAAATAAAGTATTAAACTAGAATACAGTATATTAAATATAATTCTTTAGCTGTTACCTTGAAAGCTTGTTGTAAATTCGGCAATTAAGAATGAATAATTTAAGCAACGAAAATTGCTATCAACGAATACTTTATTGCACAGATATTTTGGTCTCTACTGTATGTTATATCAAATATTTCTCAAGCATCAACTCAAATAATGCAAGCTTAAATAGACGTCCATTAACTAAAAGATGTATGAAGGCAAGTTCTTTTGCTGAAATATTAATATTGATATACATGTACATGTATTTGGAATATTTCCTGCAATTCTTTAATGTACATATAGAAACTTTTCAAATTAGAAAAGCATTAATATACGTGTTAGCTAGAAAAACTGTACGATTTGTTGCAATTCCATATTTGATATAATATAAAATCATAATTATTAGTGCTAATCTAGTCAATTTGCAATTTTTTAATTGGGAAGATACAAATTCTCTAACTATACTAAACATTTGTAATTGTTATCATAAAATTTCTTCTGGTAGTGTTTATTGTGACTCTCTTTATGCAATTTTAAAAGTCTTGGAGAATTAATTTTTAATTCTCAATTTTTTTGTCAAAGCTTGTTTCACAGATGGTTTACATGTATTGATTTTTTAGGATACATAATAACCAATGGTCTTCTTGAGCATACGAATTTCTTCATTTTTTTGTTGTAGGCATTTACTTTAAGAAGTATACGCGTCTTTGTACAAGCATCGTTATACTACATGTATATGTAAGCATCCTCTAATTTTAGTGAAAATTTAATAGTAAAATAATCTAGGTCTTAAATTGTCTCTTCAGTGACAAAATTTCGATTTTGATTTTTGATATGTAAATACCTGAGTTTGGAACAAAATCTAGATCCAACGTAAACAAGATATTTCGGCCATTATAAAGTTCACTTGTTATTAATAATGATCCTTCAAAAAAATTCTTCCGCGGATTTCTTAACAGTGCCATTTTTTATAATTCCATCTTAATTCCTATGTGAATCTACTTGAATAGACAAAATTGAATATTACTTATTCTTGATTCTAAATCTGAATAGTGTATCACGGCCCGCTTTCTCCTGTGTCAGAAAATTATTATCATGCTTATTGTAATACGTTCTGATAATATAGCCGCTTGTTTCCGTTAAGTTATCATTCGATTGAATTTTTTTAGTTTATACTAAAATATTTATATATAATTTTTAACTACACGAATTTATACATATACTTATGTTTCAGCCCAAGATCGAGTGCGAAAAGTATGATATGTAAGCTTAATTAATTTGATCGCGACCCCTGAAAGTCGTGCAAAAAAGATAGTTTATTTCAGGATTAAATTTATTAAATTTACATATATCGATATTTTTTGCACCCGATTTTAGGCTGAACATGGCATGGTTTATTTTCGAATTTCTACGGTAATATTTATATGTAACATGACAAACTTTTTTAGTATACTGTATATGTCATGTGAGTAACGAAAATCATATTTATAATTGTAGAAATGTGCATACGGAAATTATGGTAACCGAAATATTTATATTATTTTGAATTTAAAATTTTCTATATTGAATTTAATATACAACCATACTCCTCCTTTAAATGCATATTTTCAGAATTTTAACTACAACGAACTTTATAATAAGACTTATATACTTATTGCATATTCTTCTAAATACATATTTTTATCAATTTATGTTAGTCTGTCTAAGCTATTTTTTATTAATATTGATAACTTTATTCAGTTATTTTTAACTTATTTTAATATTAGTTTAGTTATCCTGTAAACTGGATTTTACATAATTCTATATTAAAGAATTCATAAACTTTTAAATATTTGGCGAATAAAAAGCTAAAATTTAAATTTGTTTAATAATGCGAATACATGGGCGAATGCAAGTTGCAATTAGTTTCTTGCAACGAAGAATATTTCTAGAACTGTTAAATGAGATTCAAATTACATGTATAACATGACGAATTTTATTTTCTCAATATACATGCACATGTACGCAATTCTTGCATAAAATGAAACTTTATAACCAACTGAGATACTGTATCACGTACGTGGAGTATTTATCTGATTTCTCCTTAGCTTTTAAATGAAATGTGTGCAACCCGTTAAACAAATTTGCGAAATTTGCGCATATGTATTCGAGGAATTATTTTATGCCTACATACGTATTTGCAACCTCGCTGCAATCATCACTAAACATTAGCACCATGTTCGTCGTCATTGTATATGTGCTTGACATGTATATCAATATCGGGAAATCGTATTCTGTTTCAAGTAAATTTTGAATGCGTTGGGTTAAAAACTTTTATATGTATACAGTTACCGCCGTAAATAACAAGAATCGAATGTGATAGTGCGCCCAGCCTACCATATGAAACAAAATTTTAAGGATGGTTTGTATATCAGTATACCTAGTGATGGGCAAATACGTGTATAGTCGAACATTATACGCACGGTATGTATAGTATGTATCGGTATATTATTTATAACAATATGCAGACTTCCCGATTTACTATCACTTTTCTCACTATAAAATGGACAAAAACTGTTGCTGATCGACGAACAACTGTCGATAAGCTTTGGAGATTTGGTATGCAACTTTAGCAAACTAACTTGTGTCCCCCATATAAGTACATTGCTCGTATTCTGGACGTCCAAGAACTCTCCAAAACTGATATTTACTAGAATCTGACTAAATGTCATCTTGATTTATTTTAAATTTGATTCGCGTGAAAATTTCAGGACAAATGTACATAAATATTCGGCGATTTTTACTTAAGAGGTCAAGGTTGATTCACTTAATAAAAAAACTTTTGCTGTTATGCGCATTTTATTTTCATATATAATTAAATTTGAAATTTAAAATTCGGAGTGCTTAAATCATATTACTAAAATGTATTATTAGTGTATATCGATATAAATTATTTGTAATAAACACTATATCTACATGCCTTTAAAATTAAAAATTTGCAACGGATTTAATTTGTTGCATTAAATGAGAGTTTCTTAATGGAGAGGATGTTTTATAAAAATTGAGAGCACCAAGTTTTTAAATATTGGCTATAAAATATTGTTGCCGTTTGATTTCAACTTATGGCTGCAAAATCTATATTGAAAACTAATACATAGGAGACATAATATATGCATAAGTCATATTAGACTTCTTAATAAGTACTTAAAATTACATTGAATTAAAGCTTGTAAGTGTATATACACTGGACTTAATTGGTTTTTAAAACCTAAATATGTGTAAATAGGAATTGTGTGCTCGTAGAAAGTTTATGGAAAAAATTAATATTCCGGCCGTCTTTGCTGATAATTCGCCCATCCTCAATTTTAAGAAACCATCGAACAAGAAATAAATGAAATAGAATAAGAAAATAAAGTAAAAAACGAAATTGAAAAAGAATCCGAAGAGGAAAACGAACAGGATATGTTAGATAAATTAGGTCAGGAAAGAGATACAAAAAGAGTTATGGAGAAACGAAGAGAAGGAAAGATTAATTCAGTCAATGAAAATTGCGGCCTGATCATAATTTAATTCATTGAACTCAATAATAAAACCCGAAAAATGCAAATTTCTACCATTTAGGTCGGTTCTCATAGCTTGAGAAAGCTGTTGTCCGCTTGACCTTTTATTGATGGGTTTTTTATTTTGCTTCCGTTTATGGCTACCCGGCTTCATAGATCTTTTATTCAGTTTTAAATCCCAGTTGCTAACACTTGCTTTGTATGATAAAGATTTATACGCTTCTTTTTCATCGTTGTTTAAATTTTTCCACGCTGCAGATGCCATTTTACTAACGATATGCATAGGACGATTAATTCCACGTCGTTTAAGACTTTCCGTATATTTGGCGCGAAAACTAATGAAACCATTCGGTGGTTTTTTGGAGTTATTTTCGAGATCTAAAGAAGGTGACCATTCAACAGTAAAATTTTTCGGTTCTTCAACTGACCTATCAACGAAATTTCGCGATTCGTAATAAAATACTTGATCTAGAGTGATCACATATGATACGTTTGCAAACCAAAGACGAAGAAAAAAGAAAACGAAGCTTCTAATTAGAAACATGTCGTCAAATTCGTTAATTTTAATGATCAGAGAAAAGATTAATTGGGAACTTGTGATGGCAGGAAGCATTTTGAGATGTCTTGAGCTTTTATATTGTGAACTGGAATCATAATTCCGAATATTCACTTTACAATTTATTCTTCACTTAATTTGAAGACACGTCTTGTTGTAGAACAAAATAAGAAATATTTTCTTTGTTAAAGAGCAGTCATCCTTTATTCATTATCTAAAGATAAAACTTAGCTGAATTTATATGCTTGTTGGCTAATTTTGTGAGAATAATATTTTACTTGTTTCAAAAAAGGTGAATAACACATCAATTCGTTACAATGTCGTGAGTGTCTGTTCCATTGAGAATTTTTATAGATGGCTAATCTAATTATAAAGACAAATTAAAACAGTAGAATGAGAGTAGAAACCATTACTAGACTCTGAATTTAAACAAAACTTTTTAAAAAATATTACGTAGCAAAACCTAATTCGAACTTTGTATTTCACAGTATATTTCCTTGGAAATGATTATCATTGAAAAACGGCTATTTTTATCACTTGTTACATGTAGTAACTGCACAGAAATTAAAAAATTAACCGTCGGTATAGATTTAAAGAAAGTTATAATTAATGACATCATCAAATTGAAAATTTAGACAAATGTTTTAGTGAAATAAGATCATGCACTTAGTCGATGTGTTTTTTAACAATACTTTTAGACACTCTTATATTATCGGTCTTTTATCTACGAGAGCACAAAAAAGAATTTCGAAAATTTTAGTAAAAGTCTATCTTATCATATATAATAAATGAGAATAAATGAGAATGTATAATATATCATAGAATTTTCTGAGCCTGAATAGTTAAAAAAAAGGAATTTGAACTTAAAAACTGCGCATAAACGGGACTTTAGAAAATAAATGATCGATAATTATGTCATGATGATACGTATGCTGCATGGGATTTGTTGCATGCAAATAAACCTTTGTTAAATTTTTTATACATGTAAAAACATGTGCGATGTAGATTTTTTTTTTTTAACAATCGTAATATGGTCAACTTATTTAAGTTTTTAAAATTTGGCAATCAAATTATTAATACATGCACCTAGAACCCTATTTTTTTCCTTGATGGCAGAAGTGGATTGTATTTACGCTAAAATAAGTATCGGAGAAATTTTTCCTAAGAGAATCATGCATAAATTTTGCCCTTTTATCATTTTTTATGGTAATAATGCCATCTCTCTGTCATATGTCATATCGATATACTGGACCGATCCATTTCATAAAATTGTCGATGCAATAATTTTTTTGATCGACGGTGCAATTTCCTTTTCTTTTCTAATAATCATTTACGTACATGTGCATGTACATTTAATAAAGTCAGGTAGAGGGTTTTACGTGTAACACATTACATGTATTACCTAAAATCCCTCACATTTTGTGTTACGTAATAATTTCACTATTGTTTCGAAGCAGAGCCATGCACTTTTGTAAAAAATTCTTACAACAATTCATATTTTTTGCACGTAATAACCCACGAGTTCTGGTAGTAACATATGATTTGTATTCTGGATAATTATATAGTATATAAAGGAAGGACTGAGAGACAAGTCAATTTTAATTTTTATGCTTCGGCTTTTATTTCTTTGTGTCTTAACAAAATCGATAGCTTTATTTCTCTTGCGTTTAAAAAAATCGAAGGCTTTACTGCTTTGATGAATCGTGTTTGATTCTTTAATTTGATTATTTATTTAACTTTAATTATTTTGTTGAAACCTATATTATTGTTTCGGAATAAATTTTAATTTTGTGGTTTGGAAAGATGTATTTGAATTTTATTAGTATATTATTGCACATAATAATTTTACTCGTTGAATCCCTTGCATTTGATTGCACAATCTTCGAGTGCAACTCATTTTGTGTAATTCATTCAGTCTAGCTCTCAACCCTTGTTGCATCTACAATGCTTTAGTCAATCTGACTTATGAGTTGAATGTGACAATAATATATACTAATTTATCAAACCTAATTCAGGCATCGTAGTAAAATTAATGATGCAAATTTTTATTATGATGAATGTTTGATCTATCGATATTTACCATTAAAATCTAAATATTTAATTATACGAAAGTGTCATGTATTTTTTGAAGTTCACGTTCGGATGCTTTTTTTTTAGATAACTAGCTACTTTATTAAAAATAACTTGACGTTCTTCAATTTGTTGTAATTTACGTTTTAAAGCCATATTTGAGTGTAACAAAACTCAGCATGAATGCTGGCAAAAATCGCAATAAAATTTGATTTTTTTTCAAATTTTTTTGTTTCGCTTTTAATTAAAAATTATTCATGATCATTTTGCTCAAAATTTTATAAGAAAAAATTCAATCTTCCTATGTTTTAATAATTTTACAAAGATCTTGATTTTCAGAAATTTTAACAATAAATTTTTATTTATTGTTAAAATTCATACAGACTCAAAGCAAATTTCTTTTTGAACTTAGTCATATAATATTTATGTCACTTAAATAAAAGAGGAGACAAACAAATTTTAACTAAAACTATATTAAATAATAGTAATTCTCTATTTTTCAATCAAAATCTATCAAGTACATGTAATACTGAATTGAACTAACTTTGTTATTTCAAAAATATAAAAATTAATTCTATGTATTCTATTATTATTATATAAAAAAAATTAAAAAAATGTCGTAACATTTAAAATATATTCCCATGAAATCTATACTAAATTCTAATCTTGTTTTACATGTATCAACATTAATATTACACTACTTCATAACGTTCCAATGATTTTCTTTCTTCATGTCTACTAAAATTGATAGTCTTCTTTTGTATTTAACAAAATTATGGTTTTACTTCTTTTGTTTAAAAAGTTGACGCATATTATTTGAGTACTTGATTGTTATTTGATTATTGTTTATAAATAAAACCTATTTTTGTTATTTGAGTTAATATTCTTTAATTATGTTAATAAACTTTTATATATTTTGAATTAAAATTTTATTTATATATCAATATTATCTTTACATACAATCTTCTTAAAAGACAGAAGATCATTAGAATCTTATGATATCCCAGTTTGCGTAAATTATTCAGTCTAGCTCGCATATTCAATTCTTTAGTCAATTTAATTTCTGAGTTGAGTTCGATATTATTTTTGATTTTAACGATTTGAATTTTATTTAACTTTATACATGTATTTGTATTTATTGTATACTCTGAAAGATTCGTTTATAAAAATAAGAAATTATTTTAACTTGAATTAAGACAATTTTATATTGATATATTGATATAAAGAAAATTTTTCATTTTCATATGCATGCTAACAAACAAAATGTAATAACTAATTTATGGCTTATTTAAAATGTCGTTCTTCCATTATCAATTTATATTAGGTACAAAAGAAATAAAAGCCACTTGTATGCAAACTTCGACAAGTGAAGGAATTATTGCAAGTAAAGAAACTTCTCAATGTTTATTGATGTTTTTCTGTGTGAAGGCTAAGAACTTGCCTTATACACAGAGGGAATTTTTATCATAATTATTATGGTAGATTTCTATAATATTTTACTTGTTTAGTATGAATTTCATTCTAATATTAGAGATTTCCTAAAAGTGTTTCAGGCCGTATAATTACATGTATTACTAGCATTCAGTGTTAGTTTTGTCTTTCAATTATAATTAAAGGTGTTAATAAATACTAGAAGAGACATAATAAGAAAAATGAATTCAAAAAAACATCAGATACGATAATGACAATCACAAAATGCTAAATATCAATTACATGTATTATGACAATGGTATTTATGAAGTTGTTAAATACATATACATGTATCAATTATTAGGATAACGTTGGTAGGTTACGGTTCTACCGCACTTATCGTTATACATGCACATGCAGCCTTTTTTTTCGATGGTTCGGGAATTAAATAATTCGATTATCGTTATTTGTGTGACTTAATACAACAGTTTGTAGACCAGTACACTGAACCAAATTTCATCTAATAATATTTTTATCAATAATAATAACCAATAAAAATGCACAAATTTTGATATTACGAGAAAACTGATGCATAAATCTGTCATGGGTTAATAATTAAAAATGATAGGAAGGCAATTTTACATATAATTTGTCTTCTCATCCAATACCATATCATGACTTTAATCGGACTTAATGAAAATTCAGTTACATTGATCCAGTTTGTATGGTACATGCACGGTACATACACTTGGTGGACAAAGTTTGGAATCGGAATTTCCCGATTCGAAACCTTTCTCCATGTGCATGTATAACGATAGATACTTGGATATTCAAGAGAAAATTCAATCTCTGAAAAACTTTTATATCTTGTAAAAATGGGATGTTGTTGCTCTAGACGCTATTTTGAAGCGGAAGCTGGTGATGCTATTAAATACCGTCTTATCCATGGTAGACGATACCATAATCTTTCGAATTCAATGTATTTTGTCGCAAATGATGATGAAGAAGCTTATCGTTTAAGTAGATATCATGATGGTAAAAATAGCTTTAATTCGGGTTTCATGTTAGAATACCTTACAACTTTTAAAAAGTTATATAACAGTATATAAATTCTAGCAATAAAAGATATTTGGGGAGGGCTGTTTAATTCACCTGTTGAAGAGAAATTGAGACAAGGGACTCGTGTTATTGATATTGGGTATGTATTGGGCAATGTTCTCTTTGTAAAGTATTGATTTTTAAACATGGCACTATCTCTTAATTTTATAATTATTAATAAAAAAGATGTGGGTCTGGAATTTGGATTTTGGTAAGAGGATTTTGTTCTATTGATTGGTTTTGTTAGAATATATTACTTTAACTTTGATATATTAATTCGTAAAAAATTAGGATTTGGCACAACAATATCCTAATTCAAATTTCGTAGGAATAGACATATCTCCGATTCTTCCAACAGAGGGTCTTCCGCCAAATGCTAAGTTTGTTCAGTATAATGTGTTAGATGGATTACCATTTGAGGATTCGTCTTTCGATCTAGTTCACTTGAAATTCATGGTTGGTGCTATTACGGAAACACAATGGGAAGAGAAAGTTATTCCAGAAATGATAAGATTAGCACGTCCAGATGGATGGATCGAGAGCTTAGAATGTGATCTTATTACATCTAATGGAAGCGTTACAAAAAGAGTTGCAAAAGCTTGTGAGTAAGGAAATAATTTATAGCATTTATTAAAAAGAATAATTTATATTTAATTTTTTTTAGTCCATGTTTTTATGACATCGAAGGGATTGAACCCTGCAATTGGAAAAGAAATCCCGCGACTTTTTGAAAACACAAACGCTTTTTCAGAAATCAGAAAAGAACATAAAGTTCTAAATCTTGGTAAAAAACATGGTAAATCTGCGGAAGAGGTAAATATGTGCCTGACGAATTTATTTACAAAAAATTTAATATTATATACTTTCTCTAATTCAAATATTCTCTTCTACTTAACTTCATTCAAAGTCTCTAAAATTTTATATTGGTGGTCTCAAGTCTTCTAAAGGTTTTTTGGCGAACTCAATGAATGTAATGCCCGAACATTATGATGCTCTCATAGAAACAGTAACTATTGAGGCAGAAAAATATTCTACTTATTTTAATCAATATCGAGTTTGTGCTCGTAAGAAGATTTGAATTTAATAATTCTCAGCTTATAACTTTGTCTTTACAAAATATTTTAACTTTGTATTTGTATTTGTATTTACTGTATCTTTATACTGTCGCATCTCGCCATAAGAACACTCTATATAGGAACAAATTCTTTTAAGTAAATTTTTTCAAAAAAAACTCATTATAAGTATATAAAATTTCTCTCTTTATAAGAATATAATCTTAAATTTTTATAAGAACCGAGTGATTTTGTCTCCCGACCATATTTTTTTAGAGAGGTGTGATGTTTATATAAATCAATATATACTATGAAAAATTATTTTCGCTCGAGCTAAAGTTTTTGCGCTAAATCGCACCTTTTATAATCACTTCATTAATAAGAAACTGGGATTACGGAAATATCTGAAATGATATGTGTATCATTCTGCATTATTTGTAAAGAAAAATTAAAATTTTAATAACAATTTAAAAAGATCGCCAAAAACATATTAAATTGTCACAGATAGGTTTTACGTAAGTGGATTTAATGAATTTTTGGATCTGTAACTATTGGTGGGAGAGAGTGTTATTAGACTATTTATGCCTGCTGGTCTAAATCCTGTGTCAATATCTACAGATATCATTAAAAGTGTAAATTCCAAGGGAGAGTGTGTAAGTAATTGGGAGAAGGAAAGGGGAATAGCTATTCTTGCTATACTAATTGTAACTGGTGCTTTTTCTAGATAAAAGCCTTAAACTCTTAATTAATCAAATCGATCAATCAATGATACATTTCATCTTTCTGGATTAAAGAACCTAATCAATAAGTTGTCTTTTCTGTCATAAGAATCTAAATAACATGTTGTCTTTTCCGATAGAAGAATCTAACCAATCTATAATGATTAAAATTATGATGGCTGTATGAAGAGAATTTAATAAGTGATTTATTACTTGGAGAAAAATTTGTACACAAGTTTATTTTTGCCTTTTTCTTGAAGAATCAAAGGCTATTTCTTATATATATTTAACTTTTTCTTAATTAAAATACTAATATAAATTTATTTATAATATATAATTCTTATTAAATTGAGAATTAACAAGATAAATATCATAATAAAGTAATAAAGAAAAGATTATGCTGGAAGTTATATATTATTTTTATGAAATGAATAATACTGAAAAACATATTCTAAAAAAATTATATTAAAAATAGAAAGTAAGATATAATATATTATGTTAAATAATATATACCAAAAAATAAAAAATCTTAATAAAATTTTTTATAAATTTGCATTTTATTTTCAAAAATTTAGCTTGTAAAATTAATTACAAAATTTTTTTAAAATATTAATTAAAAATAATTTCAATAAGTTATTATATAATTAAGCTTTAAGTAAATTTGTTTATTATATTATAAAGAAGATATTATTAAGTTTTTATAAAAATTCAATACTTTGTTATTGTATAATAAAGTAAAATATAATTTAAAGTATTTTTTTTGACTATATATTTAATATTTTTATTATAAAAAATCATATATAAATTTTTGTAATCAATTTTACAAGCTGAATTTTTGAA